GTATCTCTGATCACTACTATATTGGAAGAAGAAGAAGAAGATATATTTAATCAAATTTGACTAACGAAATCCTGCAACATATATACTAGATATCATGAGACTTACACATGTAATATCTCCCTCTTCCTTTAGTTATCTCCCTCTTCCTTTAGTACATGTACATACATGATATAGGTCCCTGTTATCAAGTAAAGTAATTTTCATATGCAAATTCTATTGGTACATGTATTACCCAAATAGAAGCTGCTTACTATCCAAAATTTTATGAATTTAATTTCTACTGAACTCTAATTGCCAGTATTTTCATATGGAATGACCATCACAAAAGTGTAAATGTTAGTTTGAATTATTAAATTTATGTTCTTTATTTAACACAGATTATAGATACATGTACGTACCATTATATTTATAGGCTAGCAGCCTTCATTTTTGAAGGAAAGTTTTTTATTTTAATCAGTTCTACTCCTTAGTTCTTATAACCATGCAAATAAAAGATATAAACACACTATCCATATCAATGGTGATACTGCTAGGTAATTGTGGAAATGGGATCAATACAGCAACTTTTGAATAATTACCACAGCAATTAACTTTTGAATAATTACCATCATTCAGGCATGTTACGATGCATGCATATGTTTCACATTACCATGAGTGTTCAATCTTAGTTTTTAATTCCTGCGTTCGATTGTAAGAAACTCTTTCAGAGCTTTTAAAACTCATATAGTTCCCCCCCCCTCCCTCCCAATAAAATAGATTGAAATCACTGGCGGATTTAGAGGGAACAAAATATTTTTTGTAAAAAATTAACATAAAAATTCATTAATATTTTTGTTGTCATATTGCAGAATTTATTTGATAAAATGAATTATGTCAGAAAGGACAGTAGGGTCCCCCTTTTTCAAGATTCCTGGATTCGCCACTGGAAATGCAACCTACTACAAGCAGTGTATCTTGAGTATAATGCGTTATAGTAAAAAAAATCTACGTACCCCCCAATTTTAAATCTTACTAATAATTGTTAAAAAATGTTGCGAACGTGACAACTATACATAATTTGCAAAATCTAGGTCAAAGACAAGCTTTCTCCGTGTGTCCTCTACCAAATCTAGAATTTTGTTCAATCTAAATTAATTTTCTTTATGACAATTGTCATGTTTTAAATTTTTAATTTACTGGGTGGCAGTAAATACAAAATTTCGTGTAAATTCAAAATTTACAACATGACACAATGATGGAGAATAAATTAAATTGAACAAATCCTAAAGTTGGTGAATGAATATCGATAAGCTTATATTATTGGGATGAAAATGGTTATTGTTATAGTCCAAGACACATAGTAGCAATATTTTAAGCCATTGATTGTTAAACAACATAAAAATGCATATAAACTTCTTATCAAAAGTCAATTCAATATCGTCATCTGCATTACTGGAAAAAAGGCATTCTTACAATCTATGATTCAAAGCTTGCTTTTCAAAAGAAAAATATATTGATTGACCATTACATGAATAATAAATGGATATACTCAAGGAAACAACCAGAGCAGATCAATAAGGAAATATAGTTACCTTTACTTAGAAAAGACTCTCTTGACCTATGTATGGCTCAGATATTGGTTACATGATTCAGACTCTTATAATGCTTGTACCATAGTTAGGTGTGATTTCTTTTGTTAAAAGTGTGGGTTTTCTGTACATAACTCACACTTTTCTGTAACTCCGCCCATCGAGTCGGGACAAAAGAACTATTTATAAAACGAACATGCACGGTTTTTAAATGAAACAATCATACGGGCTTGTTATACCAAATTTAGGAGAGTGAAAAGGAGCCTGTAAAAATTTTCAATAGTATACAGCATTTAGTAATAAATAACAGTTAAAAACGGCCATTAATACTTTAACTATAGTTAAAAGTGAAGAAAAAACTTCAGAAACCGCTTGATTTTTCAAACACTTACCAGGGTGACGCCAGCTTAGTAGACTCCAACATATCGTTCTTTTGATAACCAACAAAGCAAACACAGTACATACTTGACGTAAAAACAAGTGTACTCTACTGTACTTAAATAACATTTTCGATTGCGGATGTAGCCGATCAAAGATCTAATTTTCATTAAATTGAAATACGTATACATTGTACATAACCCATAAAAAACATTTCAATCAACATACCATTGTGCACGGCAAAGTTTGTATCAGGTTTACAAAAATTTAAGTTAAACCAAGTTCAAAATAAATTTAAATTACTAGTATGTAATTTTGACGATTGAAATTTACGAGAGAAAAAAAATCAAATTAACATATATCATTGAAACCAAACTCGTTATTTTTTCAACTACGTAAATCAAACTTTTTAAACGGGCCTAGATATGTTTAATTTTTATGTCGCTTGCGTGGCCCAGTGGTTAAAGCGCCTGCCCTAGAGTCACGAAGTAAGGAGTTGAATCCCACTGTGGGACGTGGAGACCTATAAAGTATAAACAGAGGTCCCGTGTCGCAGAAGGTGTTGACAGGAAGATCTCTCACTGCTCAATGACCCTAAGTGCAGAGTATGGGGCAAAATTTGTCGGAAAATTTGAAAAGTATTGTATACAAATCACTTACCCTATATTCGATGGACATGGTCAGAAGGACACGAAGGAGCGTAAAATCATATAAAATCCAAATGCAACTTTGAAACCAAAAGCTTAATGTTTCAGTCGCGAACTAGTCCGACCGATTCCTAAGCTGACTTACATGTGAATGATTTTTGAAAGCTATGGTACAAGTCATTTACCCCATATCACACTGTTGATTATGTGTAGATACCCGATGGGCGTGGTCATAATGACAACTCGGGAGCTACGCTCCCTCGTGTCATTATGACCACGCCCATCGGGTATCTACACATAACCAACAGTATGATATGGGGTAACTACTACTAAGCCCATAAATATTGGATGTTTATGATTCAAATTCTGATAAAGGAAAAGAGTAATGGGGACTTTCTGCCTTAATTATTATTGTTGGGGAATAGCTCTTATCCAGCTTTTATTGTCTTTTACACCATTTTACTTGAAATTTATTTGCCTCTTTCACTGTAAAACATTATCTATCTATTAAATATGATTCTTGTGGAGGAGTGGAGGATTCTTATCATTATTTTTTCTCATGCGAAAAATATACAGAAGCCAGGAAAGAATTTTTTGACAAATTTTTGCGAATGGGTAAATTACATACTGTCGATACTTACACCTTACTCTGGGGAGACAAATCGTTAAATGATTTTGAAAATGAATACCTATTCTCTATTGTACAAACTTTCATAAAAAAGTCAGGGCGATTTGGTTGATATAATAATTATTTCTAATTGTAAATCTTATACAGTATATCTATTATGTATGAAATGTATTCTATTGAATGTGTTTTACTCTGATTATTATACATTATTATTAATTATATTATTATTATTGTTATTTGATATTAAGCTGAAACCCATGTATGTCAATATGTTTGGTATAATTTATATGTAGGGGAAGGGCGTAACAAGTTTTTAGAACTTTTGCCCAATCCCATTTGTATAGTATAATCAATAAAATATGTTCAAATCAAATCAAATCAAATATGATTTACCAAACAAACTATAATTATGATAGCTCTTATGATAATAGTTTCCAATCTAATTAAAGATTTCAGTCCAAAATATGTAAAAAAAAAAAAAAAAAAAAAAAAAAAAGCATTTTTTTCCCTCTTAGTGAAACGATCAAAATATATTGGCTTCGTATTTTTTTGTATCTTTTTATGACTACTTTATTATTGTATATGAAATTATTAAGTAAGGTTTGAATTTAGGGTGCATATAAAAATAACATAATATATAACATATCCTAAAAATTGAAGAAAAACAAAGAACATTCTGATTAGCCAATATTATGCAGTATTAGTTAAATTTTTTTTTATGTCAGTTTGGTTAATATCATGTTATAGCTAGCTCTAAGAGCCTATATTATGGTAATATCTTATTATGTAAAGAGAAAAACATTCAATCTTTTGAAATAGAGCTTTTTATGTCAAAATTTGTCTTATCTGTTGTCTGTCGTCATTGTTATCGACGTCATTAGTTGTCATTGGCATTGTTGTAAACTTTTCAAATTTTCTTATTCTTAATTCTCAAGAACCACAGGTCTGATTTCAAACAAACTTACCACAAAGTATTATTGGGTGTAGGGGATTCAATTTTGTTCAAATGAAGGACCACACCCTCTTTCAAGGGGATATAATTATGAATTACTGATAAATGTATCTTTTAAATGTCTTCTTCTCAAAAACCAGTTGGCCAGAAAAGTCTTAGATGAAACTCGTTTGGAAGCGTTAGCATCCTCATGTCATGTAAATTCAAGTTTATTCAAATCATAACCACTGGGGGTAGGATGGGGCCAAAGTTTAACATTGAAATAATTAGGAAAAATCTTTAGAAATCTTCTCAAGAACCAATGGGCCAGATAAGCTGAAACTTATATAGAAGTATCCTTGGGTTGTATTAAGTTTAAACTGTTCAAATCATGACTCATTAGAGGGGGGGGGGGGGGGGGGGGGGTATTACACGGTGGGAAATCTGGTCAAGAACGGCATCACCAGAGTTACTCAAGTGAGTGATGTGGCCCATGGTCCTCTTGTGTTTTGTCATATTTAGCTAGTTATAAGGAGGTACATGTATATAATAAAATTATCATTATAACAGTTACTTGAACCTAAGAGATGTATCACATCTTATAAACAGGGGGTCAGGCACAGATTATCAGATCAAATGAGACGCGAAGTGTCAACTGGATGTGATGCGACGCTTTGGATTAAGTTACTGTTATAATTATATGTATATATACTACATCTTATTACATGTACCATTTTTTTTCTGCTCTACATAGTTTTGAATACTATATCATATTAAATTACTTTTTTTTTTTGCACACTTTATTCATTGTGTTCAACTTGTATCAAACATTGCATGGAATGTCAATATCTACTCTTGAGATGATGATATAATTTATTCTGTTCTGTACATTAAATTAAAATTACAACCAATGTATATGTGACTAAGTAAGAATCACTTAAGATACTTGTACACTGTCAGAGTGTTAGTCTTTAGTTGTCCCACATAGAGATTGTTCTCATCATCCACACACACACTACAGGGATCCTCTACCCCTTGTTGTTCTGTGAGTAATAGAGACAAGAACTGACCGTCCTGATCAAGGAGGTGAACAGCGTAACTGTCATCATCACACACCAGGATGTGACCGAGGACATCAGTACAGATTCCATAGGGATGGAACAATAACCCCTGACCTCTGTAGGAGAACCTGTGTTGTCCTGATTTATTCACCACCACTACTGCAAATTTATTATAGTCTGATGTACAGATATCTCCATTGATGTTTTCTGTGATGTAGTGTGGTAGATTATACAGCCCCTGCCCTTTATTATCCCTCTGTATGTTCTGTAGTTCTTTTCCTGTCTTGTTGTACCTGGTGACTTTAGCCTTTCTACCCTTCATCATCCCCACCAGTAAGTCCCCGTTGATGTGGGAGGAGTGTATGCTGAGTGGTTCCCAGTCTCCAGTTTTAATGAATTCAGTGATATTATTATCCTGTGTTATCCTATTGATGACTTTCTTGATTTCGTCTGTAAAGATCAGACCCCTGTCCTGTGTGACTGTGTGGTAACCTTCAGATGTACCACTGGTTTCTATCTTCTGTATCACATTTCCTTGTAGATTTGTTTGGATAAGATTACCATTCTGATCACTGATCCAGAGTCTGTCTGGTTGATCTTGTGATACATGGTGTACATCATCAACACCTGGTACATTGAACTCCCTGACCTTGGTGACAGAGGCAGATAGAGACAATGTTTGTTTCTTGTCAGATTTCACATGTTTATCTAGTTTTGTCTTTTCACTGGTGGATTTCATTGATGTAGCAATTGGAGGAATTTCCATTGATTTTACTCTTCTTAGTTCTGCCTTTCTATCTGATTTAATTATTTTCCCCGATAATTTAGCAACATCATTTTTGCTGTATTGAGCAGGAGAAAATTCTGGTGTGACAGGTTTTGTGGTTTCTGGTATGGATTTTATTTCTAAATTCTCTGGAAGTTTTGTTGTGAAATTAGTGAGCTCAGTAGAGGACAGGTAACTCTGGAACTCTTTGGCAAGGTCATTGAGATAGGCAATATAATCATCAAATGTCTTCTCTTGGCTCTTTAATTTCTCCAGTAATGACTTCTCTATTTGGTTTAATTCTTCCATATTTTCTGAGAGAAATGTGTCCACCATGTTTTTGAGAGACTCAGCTTCAGCCTTCATGGATGTCCGTATGCTGTCCATGATCTGTTTAACTTCTGTGGCATTTTCCTGAACTTCTCTCTGTAAATCCTGTGATGTAGGAATAAAATGATTATGAATTTTAGAGAGTTCTGTTTGGCAAAGAGTAAATTTTTCTGTGTAAATAGTCTCTAAATCGGTAAATATATGTCCATGGTGCTCTTGCAATGTTGAGCACTTGGAACATAAAGGAATATTGCATTCTTTGCAGAAAATATCAATTTCTTTAGTGGGGTGGATCTTGCATTTCTTCACAGGGAGTTGTCGTCTACGTTGCTGATAAAGGACCACTTCATGGTTCTTGTTTTCTGCAATCTGTAGATGTTGGTCCCTGCATGGTTTACACATCTGTTGATGGCAGGAATTGCAGTAGAATTCACAATTTTTCTCACAATCTTCAGTACCACACTCCAGAAAGTGTTGGGCAGTGCCTGGAATTTTTTGTTTTGAATGTGCCATCTGAAATTAAAGTTTGTTACATGCATTAATATTCTTGTCAATGAATTTATTATTTTAGGCTGAAGTACTTATACTTCAAGCTGAATGAAAACATTCATTATGTTTTGGTTGTTTATATATTTTGGATCCACCTCACCATTCAGGAACTCTATCTACCCAGGCTAAAGAGGAAATTTCCCCCAAAAAGGAATTAAGTTTTAACTATTCTGTTGAATTAAACTTTAAAATTATCTTAGAGAATCTGCCCAAAAAATGCCCTTTTTGTTAAAAATTCAAATAATACGTCCTCAAGCAACCATATACTTACTTTTGGTATAAATGACCTCTAAATGTATATATCTGTTAACAAACAAACTTAGGAATGTCAGAGTGAGATTTTAGTCGAGACTTAGATGAGATCTGTAATTTACTTCCTGGATGGAGATAACTATAGATTTAAATGCTCTGTTAAATACACCTGTACTTTTAAATTACTAAATGAATAAAATTGATAAATGTAGTCTGTTATTACTGGGGAAGATATAATAGTTGTAAACAATTTATTTTCAAATATATCCAAATTTTGTTAAAAAGTTATTATTGTTTGCTTACGGGAAGTAATGAATGAATTAGCAAAGTTTTGATTATATTAGCTCATGATAATTTTTCTCAAACAATGTCGAAGAAGCAAAAGTTTTTTTCTCTGTTAATTAATTAACATTAATTTGTTTGATATTATACATTTTAACTAATTCTGAATTTCAAATTTTGTGTAATATATGACAAAAAAATATTTTTGACTTTAATTGAATAATAGTGTTTTTAACTCACCTGGGCTTTTCTGCTCAAAACATGTTCCTTTTCTGTCCAGTGGCGTAGCCAGGCTACTTTTGATGTGGACGCAAGAGTAGGCAGGGGGTTTGGGGGCCTAATGTCCCCAATGGGTCCTTGGTTAATCCCTGGTGAGAATCCAGAGGGCGATGCCCCTGACAGCTATTGAATTTTGATGAGCATATTTGACCCTCCTGTTCGCATATTTCTTACACTTTAAAGTTTGTTATGCACCCATGTTTGGAGGTCTGTTTTGTTTATGTACAAAATATGGACAAACACTCTCAAATAAGAAAGGATATGCCCATTCATTGTATCGTTGTTCATGTGAAATGAAGATCCCACTTAAAACAATTTTAGACTTTTGAAGAGACGAAATACTTATGATAAATTAATCGGTTGCAGTGGTACATGTTTATAAGAATGTAATGTAAAACATCAGCAATACGTAAACCAGATTCAAGGAAAATCTAATGATTTCAGAAGTAGAGATTGTCTACTATGATATTTCCCCTAAAACTGATTCTGTTAATTTTCAGTTATTATTTATGGTTTATTAAATTGTTTATAAACATTTCTTTTATTTCTAAAAGTGTTTATTTATTGCAAAATGATTTAAGAGCGTAAAAATTTCGCCTGCCTCTCCCTCTTTCATTTTTCCCCTAAAATGATGTGGACGTTTTTGCGTACAAACGTACGCCTGGCTACGCGCCTTCTGTCATTGTCATCTTTAACTTTTCACGTTTTCATGCTCTTAAGAACCACTGGTCCAATTTCAACTTCCCACAAAGTATACTTTGGTGTAGGGGATTCAAGTTTGTTCAAATGAAGGGCCACACCCACTTCCAAGGGAAGATTGTAATTTAATGAATAAAGGATAAATAAATGGTGTCTTTTAAAATCTTTTAAAATCTCCCTCTCAAGAACCAGTGGGCCAGAAAAGATGATACTGGTGGAAGCATCCTCATGTACATAGTGTCGATTCAAGTTTAACAGATCGTGACCCCGGGGGTTAGGGTGCAGCTACAATGAGATATAATATTTAAACATGAATAAACAGGAAGAATCTTTAAAAATCCTTGCATTTCCCAACAATAAAGAAACCCGGTCTCACTTTAATCATTGATCCATCCTTAATTTCAATTACATACATGTATAAATAAATATTTTACAGACCAAACAAGTTTAATTGTATATTCCATTTTTATACTGCATACATTGCTGAAGATATCTTTTGCTTGTTTGTAATTTGCTACTGCAAATGCTATCAAGCTTTCTATGTCAAATCCTATTGTCAGCAAACCCGCAATCTACCTTAAATTCTCCTAGTGAACGTGATTCAAATTTAATTCACAGTAACTTAAGTTTAATATGAATTAAACTCTCCATGTGAACAGTGTATTATTAGCTCACCTGAGCCGAAGGCTCAAGTGAGCTTTTCTGATCACATTTTGTCTGGCGTCTGTCTGTCTGTCTGTAAACTTTTCACATTTTTGACTTCTTCTCAAGAACCACTAGGCCAATTTTGACCAAACTTGGTACAAAGCATCCTTGGATGAAGGGGATTCAAGTTTGTTCAAATGAAGGGCCATGCCCTCATTCAAGGGGAGATAATTGAGAATTAGTGAAAATTTGGTGGAATGTTTTAAAAATCTTCTTCTGAAGAACAGCAAAGCAATACTTAAAAGAAAGTACCCTCAGGTAGTGTAGATTCAAGTTTTTTCAAATCATGACCCCCGGGGGTAGGGCGGGGCCACAATGGCTGACCAAAGTTTTATATAGAAATATATAGGAAAATTCTTTAAAAATCTTCTTCTCAAGAACAGCAAAGCCATGATTGCTCATATTTATATGGAAGCATCCCCAGGTAGTGTAGATTCAAGTTTGTTCCAATCATGACCCCCGGGGGTAGGGCGGGGCCACAATGGCCGACCAAAGTTTTATTTAGAAATATATAGGAAAATTCTTTAAAAATCTTCTTCATAAGAACAGCAAAGCCATAATTGCTAATATTCATATGGAAGCATCCCCAGGTAGTGTAGATTCAAGTTTGTTCAAATCATGTCTCCCGGGGTAGGGTGGGGTCACTGGCCGACCAAATTTTTATATTGAAATATATAGGAAAATTCTTTAAAAATCTTCTTCTTAAGAACAGCAAAGCCATAATTGCTCATATTTATATGGAAGCATCCCCAGGTAGTGTAGATTCAAGTTTGTTCAAATCATGTCCCCCGGGGGTAGGGCGGGGTCACTATGGCCGACCAAAGTTTTATATAAAAATATATAGGAAAATTCATTAAAAGTCTTCTTCTTAAGAACAGCAAAGCCATAATTGCTAATATTTATATGGAAGCATCCGCAGGTAGTGTAGATTCAAGTTTGTTCCAATCATGACCCCTGGGGGTAGGGCAGGGCCACAATGGCCGACCAAATTTTTACATAGAAATATATAGGAAAATTCTTTAAAAAACTTATTCTCAAGAATAGCAAAGCCATGATTGCTCATATTTATATGGATGCATCCTCAGGTAGTGTAGATTCAAATATGTTCAAATCATGTCCCCCAGGGGTAGGGCGGGGCCAAACTCAGGTGAGCGATGTGGCCCATGGGCCTCTTGTTTATGAAGAATTCCCTCAGAAATGTGAACACTGAAGTTCAATGCATTTTTCTGTGTTTCTTGTAGTACCGTTTTCCACAAGGTGTCAGACAATGGAAACCTGGTGCTGGAAGTCTTGCTGGCGAGGTCCCAGCTGTCCATGGTGTACTGGGGTCAGGCTGGCATCGCTACAGTTACCTGTCAAGAAAAGATTCCTCAGAGAACCTGGATCCACCTCGCCATTCAGGTACACTAAAAATGAAGCCATTTAAAATTTTAATTGAATTACTGTGTATGATTTAAAAAAGGTATTTATGTATTGAATGATATTTTATAAACTTTTTAATCTTTACAATTGTTGGAGTGTTTACTTTTTAGTGAATTTGAAATTAAAGGCCTTTGCAAATTGGAGTCTTTAGGGTTCCAGAAGTGAAACCTTTGTGCTATTGACTATGCAGCAAAAAAAATTTCTGTATCAGTTACTTTTTCTGTTATCATGCCCCTGCCTTGTATTGGCGAGGCCGCCAGGGGCATATGCATGTACAGTAAATACTTTTGGTACATTTAAACTTGTGTTTTAGCAGGAAGCATTCAAATGATGCAGATACATTTTTTTCTTATTATTTTCAAGATGGTGAACACCTTTTTCTTTTGTCTTTTATATAACCAAGCCCACTGTTTTTCATATTTATGGAGAGAAAATAATTACGCTGTACATAAACAAATAGCATCCAACAAAATTAACACTTCCAGTTTAAATTAAACTCAAAATAGCTTTTTATATATAAAGTAATTAATGTTTGTAAATTTATTTTAACTTTGTGTGTTTTAACAATGCTTGTGTAAATTTTCTATTGTGTTTGATTGGTTGCATTATATTTGATATCAGAGTTAATGGATTAATGTTGTACAATAAAACTGTCAATATTTGATGTGTATATTTGAATAACTTGAATTTTATTATACCCTTTTGCCATGAAGTAAACAAATCAGACAGTTACCTTTTTTATGGAATACAAGAGGGAGATAGAGAAAACAGAGAGATTGGGTAGGGAAAGACTAGCAAAACCATATTAACAAATAATTTCTGATATAATTTTAGGCTTATAAAACCAGTTTGAGTTTCTACATCAATGGGGTCCAGCCAGGCTTTCTTCCTGTGGAGACACTTGTCCTTGCCAGTCAGGTCAAGGACAGCATTCAAGGTCAAAGCAGAATAGGGCAAAGTATCACAGGTGAAGCATTTATGTTGGAAATTGCATGAACTTTAAAAATAAGGAATGAAAATTATGCTTTAATTAGGTCAATTCTGATTTGAGAAGAATGAAGAAATAAAATTACAATTTTTATAAAATAATTTGTGACAACAATTATAATTATTTTTTTTCTAAAGGTACTTGATGTCAAGACAAATTTTCACATGCAAAATGATTTTCAGGTACAAATCAGTTTCTGGGACGTCTCCAGGATGTAAAGTTCTTTTCAGAGACACTGACTAACAGGTAAACTCGGTTATAAAAATAGGTAAATAGACGTATACACCCACTGGTGTTAAACAATCTTTTTTACCATCAGACAGCAGTACTATAACTATGTCAACAATAACAGTGATATTTCGAAGCTCATTTTAATAAATGCTTGTAAAAAGTGAAAAAAATTTACAATGCATATATTATTAACATTTGATACTGGGGCTAATATCTTTCAAGAGAAATTCAGGAGGTGTACAGCGGCAGTCTTCCGAGCGTCCGCGTTCAGTCTGAGTGTAGATGTCAGGCCTCCCACCCCAGGATCAAACCTCAGATGGAACACTACTGCATCGCTAACGGCGTGGACGACGCTGATAACGACGCCGTGCTCAGGCTCAACGCGGAGGCTCATAATCTGGAGTTCCTGAACGACGGAGACAGTAACACCTACTGGATCTCACAGTTCCAGAACCACATAGAGCTCACCATCGACTTGGAAGATGATTTTCAGGTGGTTATTCAATAAAAATTGATGAAAACACCCATTAGATTAATTTTTTTCCTTTAAATTCTCAGAAATGTTGAGAAAGATTTTTGCAGGGTAAATTCTTGTAATAAACAACAAGTATTTATTGACAAATTCAATATATCTTTAATTTTATATACAAATATGAATATTTAAAGCATTTAAAAGTAGAAAAAATAACCAAGAGAAAATTTAAAAGAAAAAAGGTATTCCCCAAGATCTGTTTTATATTAAGTCCAGTGAATTTGTGGATGAACTACCACAATTACAGTGAAATGAAAATGACAGAGTTGTAATGTAAAAGTTTTAAATGATTTGAATAGACATTTGATGACACACAAAAGAATGACTGGGTAAATACAAGTTCTTACAACTTACTTCTCCTATAATAAAAATTTTAACTATGTTTTTCAGGTGTTCTTCCTTAACCTTCAGTTCTACAGTCCCCTCCCCCGGGCGGTCCTTATTTCCCGCGAGTTGGAGGGGAGTTGGGAGGAATGGCAGATGTACGCGACAGACTGTCAGGAATACTTCAGTCAGACAGATAATGGCCCCCTTCCACAACCCGACTCGGTCAACTGTCTCAAGTTCAAAAGGTAAGACTTAATTTTATCACATGCTTTGTCTTTATTGTGAAGGGAAATATTCTTTGATGGTCTTGGTTGATAGTTTCTGTAGTGAGCATGTGCAACAAATTCTGGATATTAGTATGTAGCTGATAATATGAAAACAAATTTGATCTTTTAAGAAAACATACAGTCAGACCTTGTAAATGCAAACTTGATGATGGGACTAATATTAAACTCTGAGGATATCCAAGGATTTAATATTAAGAGGGAAAAATACTAAAAAAAAGGCTTGGACTGCCATATTACTTTTGACATATCCTAGGTATAAGGGATATCAAATTGAATGAAATTATAAAGTTCTTTAAGAGATTGATTAAATTAATTTGTCAATCTCCCTAAAATTTTCTAATTGTGAAGAAAATATGTACATGTATATTAGATTATGAATATTACACTCATTTCTTTTTGGATGTTACTTTATATTGTGTCATTTCCTGTTCAGAGATAAAGAGAACACCCACTACTCCAAGGGAAACATAACATTCAGCCTCCTGGCAGCCGAGCCAGTACAGAGACCAGGGATGGATGACTTTTACGGTACCCCGAAACTGAAGGAATTTGTACGAGCCTCAAAAGTCCGAGTCAAACTGCAGGACCATCAGCTGGTGACTAATCTTAGACATGAGTACTTTGGGGTTTTTGAATTCATCATTAAAGGAAGGTTTGTGCATGGTTCTTATTTTCCTTTTCAATTAATATTTTTATCTAAGAATTTATTGAAGTGCTTTAAGAGTCCATTTACATGTTTTTTTATGTGTTTTCCAATAATTGTACTTATGCTGTATACTGGTATACAAATTTTACAAATTGTCACCGTATTGCCCTATAAATAAATAGATCACTGCCTGATCTTTGAAAGGGTAGGCATCTTTATCAAGCAGATATCTTACTGTGAATTTTAAATAGTTTGGGTAAAACTGACTTTAGGAGAAGCTTAGCCATTACACATATACAGTACATGTATTAGAGATTAACACCTGTTTTGTAGATGTAACTGTCATGGCCATGCCTATACCTGTGATAGTATCACCAGACCTTACAACTGTAGCTGTCTACCAGAGAGTTTTACACAGGGAAACAAGGTAGGAAAGACCCTTTGGATCACCTAGTATTCATTTTAAGAAATAAATCAGTTTACTTATGATAAATATTTTATTGAATATACCACAGCTTACTTCACTCTACAAATGTATTGTCGGCCCATCTAAGCTGCAGGCTCATTTTAGAGCTCCCTCTTCATTGAGTTTTTCAGCTTTTCAATAAGCCCTCTCATTTGTTAGATGAACACTTTTTTTTGGTTGCCAAAACTGTTTCAAATTTTTATTCTCTCATCTAAATTTCAAGTGTGAGGAGTGCCAGCCCCTTTACAACAACAAGCCCTATCGTGATGGTGACCTAATTAACTCCTTTGACTGTAAGCCATGTGAATGTCACAATCACTCCGACAGCTGTGTCTACAATGCGACCCTTGACCTCTTCCCAGATGACCATGACCTCGGGGGAGGGGGAGTCTGTGTGAACTGTCAGCACTTCACCAGCGGTCAGTTCTGTGAGACCTGTGTCCCCCTGTACTACAGGCCCCGGGGCAGGAGTAAATATGACCCTGATGTTTGTGTGCCTTGTTTGTGTAGTGAAGCAGGGGTCGAAGGAGGAGAGCTGGATTGTAAAAAGGTTTGTGATATAGTATGTGTTCCTATGTTACATGAATTTTATAATTGTCAATTAGATACAGACCCATAGAGTACAATGCGTTTGAAATAATAGGGAGGTAAAGGTTTGATAGTATTTTGTAAACTGTTTGTACTGATCTGAAGAGTAAAACTTCGGTGCCATAATGACAATGCAGTGATAGCAAAAAATACAGTAATTTAAGCTGCAACTGTAATATATGTTACATGTATTTGACTAGTACTTGATATACAAATGTAAATGATGAGAAGAAAATAAGAAAGTCTTATTCCCTTTTCTCGTAAATTTATTTCTATTTCCATACTGTTTTCTTTCAGTACATGCTGTTAGCAGTGTCATTCAAATGTTGAATTTTGAACTACAATGTATATGATAATAACTTTACAGGATGGTGGGCAATGTCAGTGTAAGACCAACACAGGAGGTCGGCAATGTGACCTCTGTCTGCCGGGCTTCTTTAACCTTTTGACCTCTAACCCTGACGGCTGTGAAAACTGCTCCTGTAACACAGATGGTACACTCAATGGAGATGTGTCCTGTGACACCAAAACAGGCACCTGTAACTGTAAACAAAACACTAGAGGTAAATAATAAAACAGGCACCTGTAACTGTAAACAAAATACCAGAGGTAAATAATAAAACAGGCACCTGTAACTGTAAACAAAACACCAGAGGTAAATAATATAAGTACATGTACATATACTAGATATTATTAATTTTCAAAATTATTGGAATCAGATTAAAAATGCATAATTTTGTGCATATTTATTAAAACAAGAGATAAATTTATTGGAATGGGCATCCAAAAGTGAAAGTAAAACTCTTTTAAATCAAATGTTTCAGTTTGAGGTATAAACTACAGTTATGACTTATGAGATATGAAAGACAGTTATGGGCATAAAGAAGTATATGTGTGGTGTATAATTAACTTGCTGTGAATATAGTTTTATATAAAATGTGCAAGCTTTATCTAATGAAACTGAAAAGTAACTGCTTATTGCTTATAGTTCATTTCAGTATGAAGATACTGGATGCTGCATAAATACATGCACCTCAAAAAATCGTAGTTACTTTTAAGAAAAGAAAATGTAAATGCCTAAACATTAATTTTTTTAAAGGGTCCAAATGTGCAGATTGTGAGCATGGGTACTTCAACCTGACCGCAGACAATCCAGCTGGCTGCTCTCCCTGTGAGTGTAACCCCCAGGGCTCAACCTCTCAGTTCTGTGACCCCGTCACGGGTCAATGTCAGTGTAAGGACCATGTGACAGGACGCAAGTGTGACCAGTGTACAGACAACTACCAAAACTTTGAACTCGGCTGCAAGGTGTGCACTTGCAACTCTCTTGGCACAGTGCCAGGTACAGTGTGTGACAAAAGAACAAGTCAATGTGTTTGTAAAGAAAATGTCCAGGGACTGGCGTGTGATGAGTGCAAAGATGGAAGTTTTGGATTCGGAGGATCGGCATCCAAAGGATGCTATGGATGTATCTGTAATTTGGCCGGAACCATTAACAGTTCCCTGGTCTGTGACAAAAATTCTGGAAAGTGTGTGTGTAAGGAGAATGTGGTAGGGACTAGTTGTAATCAGTGCAGTGGGAACACTTTTGGATTGAGTATGAACATCACAGAGGGGTGTGAACCCTGTAACTGTGATCCCACGGGGACAAAGGGAGGTAACTCCAGTCACCCTGATGATTTGTCATGTGACCAGAATACGGGAGAATGTACGTGCCTGGCTAACAGGATAGGGAGGCGATGTGATGACTGTGCACAAGGTACTGATTTTGACTTTTATCAAAGAACTTAAACTCATTTAGGATCAAAGTTCTCTGGACAATGTTGTTTTAATACATGCAAAAGATTACATGAACATATATATATATAATTTCAATATATGTATACATGTTTCAACAGAAATTTACAAATAACAAATCTTCAAATTTTGTAATGCATGCAGTGTTTGGGATCCATTCTGTTCACCTGAGCTGATGACTTCCTGCTTCTCATCATCTAATTATTAATTGGCTGTAGTAACATTCAAGTAATTCAGCTCAAACTTGACTGCCTCTGGGGACATTCATCATTATAAATCGTTATTTTTTGTTCCGTTTTCTAGGATATTTTACGAGACTGGAGCCGGGAGGAGGCTGTCAGCAGTGCGGATGTCACTACGCCAGTACGTACGAACAAACGTCATGTGACTCGCTGACAGGGCAGTGTCAGTGTCGACAGAGTAATACAGGGATCACGGGGAGAACCTGTGAGGAGTGTCATGAGGGGTTCTACGGCTTTAACTCAAGATTAGGAACGTACGTAGACAATAATAACTCTAGATTAGGAACATATAAAGACAATTATAACTCAAGATTAGGGATGTATGTTGGGGGAGATACTGAATTCTTTCCATGGGGTTCACATCAACTATTAAGCTTGTTTTAGACACATAGTCTTTTACATCTTTATCCTTTGATTGGAAGAGGTTGATAACTTCATAAGTTAAATATTTTATTTGAATACCACACAACACTAGTAATGAGTTCACACTTATAACCAAGATAATTTCATTCCCTGTAGTTTTAAAACGTAAAGTTAATGGATACAATGAATTTTGAAACTTAAATTATATTCTGCGCTTACACTAAGCTAAGATAACTGTATTGTTTTAGCTGCAGTCCTTGTGAATGTGAGGCAGCAGGCAGCTTAAACTCCACTTGTGACGTCATGACGGGAAAATGCTTCTGTAAACAGTTTGTGGAAGGTCGAAGGTGTGATGCCTGTATATCAGGAGCCAGTTACATCAGCAGTGAAAACCCTTATGGTTGTAGTAAAGGTAAGAAAATAGACTGAACTGAAGCTTTATGTTCAGATATGAAATGTTTTTTGGGGAGAGGTGAAAATAAAAGTGATCCTATGTTGGATTACCTATTTCATGCATTAGTTTGAATTCAGTAATTTGAGGGAAGATGGGGTGTTAGAATGGTGTAAACTTGTCTCTCCTGTTATTGCAGTACAGCATTTATGTCCTCTTTACAGCTCATCAAAAACAATGCTTTTGATATATTTGTGTGTGTATGTTTGGGGATGAGGGGGGGGGGGGGTTGTTACAATGTTATATGAATTCTACTTTATAATTTATGTTTGAAATTTTAGAACCAGCTCAGCAGCCCCCACCAGAGCACCAGCAGAACAGTTCAACTGTACTGTGGCTCACGTGGAAGGAACCAGATTATCCTAATGGGGTCATCAAAGAATACAGACTCTTCAGAAATGGAACACTGATCTTCACAGGCAACTCTTCTAGTAAGTACAATGTGAAAAAGTCAGACTTAATATGTTGTTCTGTGCCTACTTAGTGTATTATGACTTTTCCAGATGTGGGTGTTGATTACTGGTTTCTAGAATTCATTGGATACCAAAATTTGAGAGGATCTTTAAATTTCAAAATTACAGTATTGGTTCACTTTCTTTAATCATTTCAAATTCATTTTTCATCTTTTCTTGATTTTTTATCAAGTCATCACATTTTAAGTCATATATCTTATCCTTTGCTTAATGATTAACATTAAAGAAACTGACAGGATTCATTAAAGAAACTGACTGTAGCTTGCTCAATTTAATTTCCATAAGCATGATCAAATTTACAAATGTACATTAGGAGCCAAGCTTTGGATTGCATGTTTTTGCAAACACCTAACAAAAACTATCTTTTCATTATTTTTAGATATCATCTATGAAGATTCAGGATTGTCACCCTACACGAGATACACCTACATTGTGGAGGCCACCAATGATTTTGGATCCGTCCACAGTTCTCCAGTGACCTTCCGAACCCTACCAGGTCCCCCCACAGGCATCGTCTATGTGACTGTCAAGGAAATTCAAGCAAGAACGGCTCAATTAGCCTGGATCTTTCCTGCAAAAATGAACGGACCTCTCGCCAACTTCAGTGTGGTCACTTTGAAACCAAGCCAGCCGACTGTGCGAGAGCTACACTGGACCGGGCTAGATAATAAGACCACAATCACAGGACTGGTACCTTTTACTAACTACACTGTGTTTGTTGTGAGCTGCAGTGAAGGAGGGTGTTTGGACAGTTGGCCTGTGGTATTTAGCACTAAGTCGGCCCTTCCCACGGGAATGGAAGCACCTGTTGTTACGATGGTTTCTTCATCCAAACTAAATGTCACATGGAAACCACCTGCGCAAGCAAATGGCACGTGTAGTAATTTTTATATGACATTATATTTATGTTTTAAAAGTGCATGATGATTTAAGAACCAAATTAGGAAATTCTGAACAAGTAAACTCAATAAATCAGAATTATATATGCTATTCAGATTTTATAAAAAAAAAAAAATTGTTTCTCACAACTCAAAATACAGGTACATGTAAATTTATTCTCAAGTTATTACTGTATAGGAATTATAATATTTTATGAGCTGTGGATGAGAGGATCATTAAAAGTTGATGGAACCAGGGACCCACAGGAGAAGAGGATATTCCACCCTAGTGGACAGTATAATCCCCGCCCAACTCGGTCCCCACAGGAAATAGCACTACCCCCTCCTGATACAAACTTCTTAGTCCAGGGTCTGGAACCTTATGCAGTGTATGAGTTTCAGGTATGGCAGCAGCATAAAATAATCTTAAGCTTATAATTCAGTTTCCATTAATTAATGGTCAACTTGGTAAGATTATACTGAAAACAGATTTTTTTCTAAACAGAGAAGTTTTCATGTTTAGAAAAAATCTTTCCATTTGAATGGAAAGTCCTGCTCTGCAAACACTTTTAGACTTGTATGCAGTTGAGAAATCTCTTCAACAGGTTCTTGCAGAGAATGACATAGGAAAGACAGCCAGCCCCTGGGTGTCCCAGAGAACGGGGGAAGCCACGCCTATATTTACCCCCGCCCCCACAGTGTACTCGGTCAGCCACTCACAGCTGGAGCTACGGTGGGAGTCTCCCTCAGAGGATCAGGCCCGTGGGGTCATTATGACCTACAGGGTGTACTTCTTCAGCAGGAATGACCTCGCTGCTGACCCATTTGCTCCACAATACTTGTGGAAGGTAGGAAAATTTGTGGTAACATTGAAATGCTTGGTTGATTTCAAAGAGTGTTCTCATAGAGACTCACAGCAGTTGTTCATTGGAAGAAACCTAGGCAAAGTTTAAATTATTGAATGCTTATAATGCCACTAAATGGCTGTTATTTTGAAATTTACTTCTTCATTTTCGATTTTTTGTTTTTTAGCTCGTCAGTGTCTCAGGTGGTGCCTCAAGGTCCCATATGATAGGGGGACTGGATGCGTACCAGAACTACACCTTTAAACTAGGTGCATGCAACTCTGAGGGGTGTGTCAACTCATCAGAGGTCACTGGAACTACTCAGGAAGATGGTATGTGCACTTTGTAAAAGATTTTGAAATTATCTGTCCCTCAGATCAAAAAAGGGGGGTTGGCAATTTGTTGTTGTTTGCCTTTAGGACAAGATTGAGAATTTAGATCAAGATCATGACAGTCAACTGGGATCTTATTTTTCTTTGAATGAAAGTGTGTTATATACAAACTATTTAACATTGTGTGTGATTATCACTATAATAATTTTTTTATGTTTTTTGTGATACTGATTTATGACTAAATGTAGACATTGAAATAGATCCTGTTGATACATTTTGTGTATTGAAATTTTTATTCTTTTTATAGTACCAGCTGGGCTCTTTAAACCCAAGTTCTACAGTGTGAATTCCAGCATGATCCGCTTGTCTTGGCCTGAGCCTGCGGACCCTAATGGCCCTGCCCCTCTGTACTCGGTGGAGAAAACTGTACCCTCCCTGAGCTTCCCTCCCTTGGTAGTGCAGGGAACCAGATTTCCTGGAGGGGGATACTACCTCTTTCCTCCTGAAATTATTCCACCTAATGTAGCATTCACAGGTTAGTTCTTATAAGTCTACAGTTTAACAAAAAAAGTTGCTGATGGTGTAGTCAAGTAAAACTTTCCTATTGTGTACTAAAGTGCAATTGTCTTTAAGAGAGTAGATATTTTTTCTTTTCTTTTTCTTATTTTTAATCTCTGTGTACATATAAAATTAATTACATTGCCATTATACAAAATCTTAAAGGATTATAATTTTATACAGGGATCAGATTTAAATTCAAAATGGACAAGAACATGAGGAATGGTCTCCTGATATTTGCTGCCTCTGCTGGGAGACAGGACGAGTTCCTGGCTATTCAGTTCAAGTCAGGAAGGCCCTGGTTTGTGTTCGATCCACAAGGCAAGTTATACAAATTAAGGGGGACCTATGCCCGAAAAGTCTTTGTGTGAAATTTTCAAAACTTTGACATTTCTTTCCTGACCTCTTTGCTCATAATTTTTAGGTAATAAAAACAATACCTTTATACAGTCAATTCTCGAATTATCGCCATTCGATTCATCGCCATTTTCGCAATAGCGCCATGATTTCCCAAGAACGTTTTTCCTGCTGTATAAAATTCTCTTTATAACGCCAAATTCGCATACCGCCATCCGCCACCCTGTTTTCAAAACAAACGTCCATTTTTAAGTGTCAATTATCTCGATATACCGCCACAGATTCAAACGGTCAGTGAAGCGCGGCTAATTAGTTGACGCTAACCCTGTTTTAAAGCATGCAAAGGCAGACAAGGTACATGCAATTTAGTAATTAAACAAGAATAAAATAAATAATAATTTTAACATGAACTGTTATAATAATTTTGTTTTTTGTTTAATAAAAATCATTTAGTCACGGCTTCGCCAGGAAAGCGGTCGTTGTTATAGTGCGCGGATAACGATATTATTTTGATGATGTCTGCTTTAATTAATGCAAAGTTTGCTGAAAAAATAATTATACGGCATGAATTGTGAACGTTTCATTAACAATGATGCCATAAACGATGAATTTATTCAAGAATTCATTTTACGTGCTTTCGGCAATAAATCACGACGATCGACCCAGCTTGGTTTTTTTTCAATATCAGACGTGCAGATTTACATAATATTAAATACAAATGACTTGTCTTTATTTCATTACTGCACAATCATTTTGTTTTAGTGAAATTATACATAAAATAATACTGGAAGTATTTTCAATCAAAAATATGTCTTTATACATGTATATTTTATAATAAGAGTAGAAACGCTTAAATGGTATTTCTAAGAACGGTAACTCCACTTCTTGTTTTCTAAAAAGATGGGAAATTCGATTCATCGCCAAATTCGTTATACCGCCATGATTTCTAAATTACAAAAGGTGGCGGTTTATCGAGAATTAACTGTATGCTTATTTTTACAGTGTGAAATGCTAAAAAAAGATTATTTTAAGACATTATTTTTCTACTCCAAATATACGCTAAAAAGAACCAAAAATGTCAAATCACATTCGAAATAAACAGGTATCTAATGTATATGACTTGTGTCTTTAAAATGAATGCAAATTCATTGTAATTCATCTCGCAAGAAAAATTATAAAGGAGCACAATGTAAGTATCACCCCGTTTTTCTTGTCGTATTTTTTACAATTCCGACATGCATAACAGGCAATATCTTAAAAAGTCTTTGTGTGAAAATGTTGTAATTCATATTTTTTTAAAGAAATGATTCATCTCTTTATTTTAACAAAGAAAAAAGTATACCTTTATGATAAAATAAATGAGAAATATGATGTTTTCTTTTATTTTCGTACTCTTGTGTCATAAATATTGACCTTTCTGCACTAAAAAAAAGGGTAAGTAAGCATTGACAAACATCTGAATATAAAACTATTTTGCGAAAACAAGTATTTTGCTTTGATTAAAA